CGGACTTTCGAGTGGCTAGGGCTCTGGCTAAACGAGAAAAAGTCAACACTTGTCCCTACTCAGATCATCGAGTCTGTGCAGGCGAGGCTAAACGCCACGGCAGGGAGAGCCTGCCTCCCGGGCCCCAGGTTCTAGGCAATACAAGCGATGGTCCAGGAACTTTGGGCCACCCCTATGACCACAGTGAGATGGTGCCTGAAGCTTCTGGGGCACATGGCAGCCCGTATATATATGCTGAGGCATGCCAGGCGCCAGCTTCGACCACTCGTCTTGGCTGTTGAGTATTTACAGACCGGCTTGAGACCACATGGACATGGTGGTTACCATCCCATCAGCAGTTCTGTCAGCGCTGGACTGGTGGACGAGAGACAGCAAGGTGTGCAGCGGGGTTCCGTTCACACCTCCCCTCCCCACGGTGCAGCTGGGAACAGACTCCTCGGATGCAGGTTGGGGAGCCCACCTGAACAATTTGAGGACTCAAGATATGTGGTCTGAGGTGGAGAGCTGGCTGCATATCAATGTCAGGGAACTGCAAGCAGCTTGCGTGCATAGTGTTTCTCCCCCATTTGGGAGGCCACTGTGTTTCGGTTCAGATAGACAACACAGCCGCCATGTACTATATCAGCAGACAGGATGGTGCTCGTTCCTCTCCCCTCTGCCAGGAGGCAATAGCCCTTTGGGATCTCTGTGTAGTGCATGAGAGCTACATGCAGGCGACGTACCTGCTGGGGGTGCATAACACCTTGGTGGATCAGCTCAGCAGACCGTTCGCGGCCCACGAGTGGTCCCTCAAGGAGGAGGTGGTCCGCTCTCTCCTCCTCAGGTGGGGCACTCTCCTCCTTGATCTGTTTGCCTCGAACAGCAACAAGAAGTGCCTCAGGTTCTAGTCCTTCAGAAGGATGGGATGGGGGTCAATGAGGGACGCCCTGATAAGGTGGTGGCCAAGGCACCTCATGTACGCTTTCCCTCCCTTTCCCCGATCCATGAGGTCCTTCTAAGAGTCAGGAGGTTCGGGTCAATCCTCATTGCTCCAGCGTGGCTCCATCAACACTGGCACACAACCCTCAGGAGCCTCCTGGTGGAGGACCCCATCCTCCTTCCACAACTCCCGAACCTGCTGACGTGGGACATTAGCCAAGGGTTTCTCTGTCACCCGGACCTGCTCTCCCTGCACCTAACAGCCTGGAAGATCAGTGGTTTAGAAGGGAGGAGCTCCTCTGCTCAGACCAGGTAAAAAAGGTTCTGATGGAGAGCAGGAAGCCATCCACCATGGCCACATACAGGGCCAAAGTTCTCATGCTGGGCCATTGAGCAAGGGGTGGACCCGTCTTCGGCCCCCACCCTGAATATACTGGAATATCTCCTTGACCTTAGGCAACAGGGGTTATTGCGCTTCTCAGTTAGGGTGTACCTGGCGGCTATTGTGGCCTTTCATCCTGGGGAAGACGGACACTCGGTATTTGCCCTACCTATAGTTAAGAGGTTCCTGAAGGGGCCGGACAAACTATACCCTCAGGTTAGGCAACCCATTCCCCAATGGGACCTGAACCTGGTGCTTCACGGGCTGATGGGGGCCCTGTTTGAGCCGCTCGCTACCTGTTCCCTGTCTCACCTATCCTGGAAGGTGGCGTTCCTGGTAGCAATTACCTCGGCTAGGAGGGTCTCAGAGCTGTGGACTCTGTCCTTGGAACTACTGTATACGGTGTTCTCTAGAGACAAGGTGACCCTACATCCACACCCAGCTTTCCTGCACAAAGTGGTGTCTCCGTTTCACATATCACAGGAAATCTACCTCCTGGTATTCTATCCGAAACCTCACGCAGCAGGGAGAGAGCAGGCACTGCACATGCTAGATGGCAGGAGAGCACTGGCATTTTATTTGAATAGGACAAGAGAATTCCGTAAATCCACACAGATCTTTGTCTCAATAGCAGAGAGAATGAAGGGCTCCCCGGTGCCAGTGCAATGTCTCTCCTTGTGGATTACCGCATGCATTAGAGCATGCTATGAGCTGAAAGGGCAATCAGTACCTCACGTTACTGCCCACTCAATCAGAGCTTGGGCATCATCCACAGCATTTTTAGTCCAGGTGCCAATCCTAGATATATGTAGGGTGGCCACGTGGTCATCTGTACAAACATTCACCACGCATTACACGGTCTTGCAGCAGGCTAGGCATGATGTGGCTGTGGGTATGGCTTTGTTGCAATCTGTCTCGATCTAGACTTCCGACCTCACCTCCATGGTAATGGCTTGGGAATCACCTACTGGAATGGACATAAGCAAGCACTCGAAGAAGAAAAGACGGTTACTTATCTTTTAACTGTTGTTCTTCGAGATGTGTTGCTTATGTCCATTCCAATCCCACCCGCCTCCCCTTCGTTGGATTGTCTGGCAAGAAGCAACTAAGAGGGGTTGGGGCCAGCAGGGGCATATATGTGCGGCTATGTCAGCACCACTCTAGGGGGCTCCCTGACTGGCCCAATGGGTACTGCTGAGGGTAAGAAAAGTTCTGGAAGACATGCACACGGTGCACACACACCTACTGGAATGGACATAAGCAACCCACCTCGAAGAACAACAGTTACAAGGTAAGTAACTGTCTTTTTCAGTTCTGGTGTCCACAATTCAAGAAAGATGTTGAGAAATTGGAAAGAGGTCAGAGAAGAGCCAGAAAAATGATTAAAGGACTAGAAAACATGGCTTATAGTGATACACTAAATATATTGAGCTCTTTGGATAAAACGAAGGGTGAGGGATGACTTGATTATAGTCTACAAGTACTTATAGGGAGAACATATATTTAGAAATGGGCTCTTCAACTCAGCAGTGAAAGGCATAAGATACATGAGATTAAACTTAAAACTAGACAAATTCAGGGTGGAAATAAAGTTTACATTTTTAATTACAAGAAATAATTAACCATTGAAACAATTTATGAAAGATATTAGTGGATATCTATCAATTGCTGACAGTTTTCCCATGAAGACTAGATTTTTTTTCTACAAGATATGCTGTAGGAATTATTTGGGGGCAGTTCTAGGGCCTAAGTTATACAAGAGGTCAGACAAAATGTTCATAACGGTCCCTTCTGGCCTTGGAATCCAAGACTCTGAATAAAGAAATTCCCATAGATTTGTTGCAAAAGTCAACCATGAAGTACCTCTGTAGAAGATGCAAGGATATGCTAGCAATAGACTTCAGTGCCTTCTCCATTTTTTAGTTTTTCTCCCATTGCCAAGGTGCTGACACAGAGGCACAGCTAAACAAGGCAAACTGGATTCTCCTAGTTCCTGAAAGAACGTACTTTCTCAAGACTTGGGCTCTTCCTCAAAATCCCATGTAGCAGGGTCCACTCCACTATCATCTGTGGCAATATCTCAGGATGAATTAAGTTTGAAGGTCAAAAGCTGTATGGCTAATGCCCTTCCTAAATCGCCAACACAAGTAACTACCGATCAGCACAACTGAGCCTGCCCTTTATGACATGCTGAGAGGAATATTTCCTCTGAGTTACAAATACCTTATTTTATAATCTTCAATGCAGCCTATCATAAAATTAGTCTCTTACTACCTTAAAGAGACAGACCATTTATTTAATACTATGATGGGATATAGCACCTTGAAATATTTGTTATCTCATTCTTATTAAGGCATGTTCAAAAAGCAGTTGACAATTTCATATTCTGCAAAGATTTCTCCATTTTGGTAGTGAAACATGTTGCTCAAATACTCTGCTACTTTTCATTACAAACTATGGTGACTATTCATTTGAACTTTCATTTTAGGTGGCATGGTTAGGAGCCATTACTTCAAACAAAGGCAAGGACAAATTGCAGCCTCTATTGCAGTTTGTTTCATTATCTTTTGCCTTGGACTAGTGGTTCTGAGGACATTATTCAGCTTATCTTGAAAGAAAAATTCTAGCTTTCATACCGCCCTGCGTCTTTCATTTTTACATGGGAAGAATAAGCACATTTGTACCAAAAATGCAAAGCAGAGGGCCAATTTCTCAGTAATCATTCAGTTTTCTCTGAATCACACTTCCAAGAGGTATTCCATCAGTTACCCACAAAGGCAGGGGATATCCTACTTTCTGAGGACAACAGGAAGTAGTTTCTGTAAGAGACTCTTATTCCTGTAAACAGATTTCTTCGCTCAGAGCTGTCACTTAGAAGTTCATCATCTCTAGAAGCCATTATTGGGTAAGACTTCAGTGCACCCACTGATAGGACTTTCACTCAAGACTTTCTAAGACTGTAAATTTAATAATCTGGTATATGACAAACAACAAAGCAAGGAAGTATATGTTTTCTCCTCTCAAAAGCAGCTCCTTACCAGTACTGTTGCTAATCGGTATGGATTACTGGAACGACAACAAAAAAAGGCGTTCTTTCTTATTAAGAAGTTTGTTTCTGAGTAGCTACACAAATCTAGATATTTGCTACATTATTTTTAATCTTTTATTCTTAACCAGTTCAGCATTGTGTTAATTCTAGAACAGTCATTCTGGTTAATGGGAGAACATTCTTAAGGTACAAGAATGCTTTCTGATTTTCCTGTCTGCCAGTCACCCTACGGAGGATGACAACCCACAAGTTTGGATTACAGGAGCTACTCTCTCAGCAATCCTTTCCATAGTTTGGAGAATATTCCTTTTTGATTATTGTTTGGAAAAGTCTTTCCAAAATTTTCATTTTAAATATATACAACAGATGGATAAAAAAATCAAAACATAATCTTAGAGGTTTAACTAGAAACTTTCAGGGAAAGCTCATCAGGCAAGCACAAGAAACAATGGGATTTTGCTTTGTACTGGCTACATTCCCTTGCTTTTTTCCTCCTCATTTGGAGTTCACCAAGAAGGTCTTAGTCCAAAGATGTATTACTGTATAGAAATAATTTAAATGGTTTGTTCAGCTAATACTCACAAACAGTCATTAAGAATCTTACATTATATAAAACAAAACTTAAGTCAATGATGTCTGAACTGAGCTTACCTGTGATAAGAGCATCTGGTCTTGACTGTTCTTTTCTCCATGCTGGTACAAACACTGTAACATCTTTGTGGCCTCTTTCCAAAAACCAGTCTACTGCCAATTTTATTCCCCGACAAGAAAATACTTCTTTGTTTCCATGGCTGAAACAGATATCACACAAACACTTAATTTCCTGTTTTACAACCATTACTTTCCATGTGATCATGAATCAAGCAGAGCATAGCAAACACAGCTGATTATTCTTAGTAATGTTATTAACTTAATCCAGGATTTCTGTTAGCAATGAAGGTCAATCTGAATTCACTTCCAAACACCGCCTGTTTCCAAGAAAGGGCACAAAGAAAGACAGAAGGACGTCTGTCAAACCAAATGAATGTTTATTATGCTTGCAATATATATTTAAATAAACATGGTGTGAATTATAAAGGGAAAGACAAATCTTTATTTCAACTACATGTGGAAAGACAGTACACAAAGTTTTTAAAAGATTTTATTTCTGTTATACACACATTTATCTTTTTCATTTGTACTGTTTTAAAGTACATTTCCAGCCGTCTAAAACAGTGGTATGAGTACCTTTAGAGGTACTCGAAAGAAGTACATCAACACAACTGAAATTTGGAGAAAACTGAATGTGTGTTTTAAGTTTTACAGCGTTTTATTATTTTTGTACTTTTTACACCCAAAATTTTCATTGCCCAGCTGGCTACAATTAAGTTGTTTAAACAAATGTGTTGCAAAGGTAGAAAAAAAAAAATGTGTGTGTCTTAAACTGTAGGTACTGGGGGTACTTATAATTTTTAAGGGGTCCTTTATAAAAAAAGGTTAAGAAACACTGCTCTAAAATACTATAGTCTTTACCCACAGAGTTACTTTGGGGAAGGTTGGGAAATAAATGCAGAGAGGGAGGGAAATGGTAAAACACTGGCAGAAACGAGGGGAAAGGGAGAAAACAGGGTCTCCCACTGGCTGTTGTATAGTGAGAAGCTAGTGTCTCAGGCGAACGGCTTGAGCAAATGGCTAGCTGATTGGCTAGTGTCTCAAGATGGAGTACTGAGCCCCACTCCCCCAAGCCACGTCTCTACATATGGGCAACACAGGAATGAGGTGTAATCCATACTAGTACGTGGGAATGCTAGTGTAAAGAATTACAGAATCATAGAACACTAGAACTGGTAGGGACCTCGAGAGATCATTGAGTCCAGTCCCCTGCCCTCACAGCAGGACCAAGCACCATCCAGATAATCCCTGACAGGTGTCTGTCTAACCTGCTCTTAAATATCTCCAGTGATGGAGATTCCACAACCCCCCCCAGGCAATTTATTCCAGTGTTTAACCACCCTGACAGTTAGGAAGTTTTCCCTAATGTCCAACCTAAACCTCCCTTGCTGCAATTTAAGCCCACTGCTTCTTGTCCTATCCTCAGAAGCCAAGGGGAACAATTTTTCTATCTCCTCTTTGTAACACTATTTTAGATACTTGAAAACTGCTTCTTTCAGTCTCTTTCCTCAAAACTCATGATTTCTAGGCCTTTTATCATTTTTGTTGCTCTTCTTTGGACCTTCTCCATTTTTTCCCACATCTTTCTTGAAATGGGGTGCCCAGAACTGGACACCATACGCCAACTGAGACCTAATCAGCACAGAGTAGAGCGGAAGAATGACTTCTTGTGTCTTGCTCACAACATTCCTGTTAATGCATTCCAGCATCATGTTTGCTTTTTTTGCGTCACACTGCTGACTCATATTTAGCTTGTGGTCCACTATGACCCCTAGATCCCTTTCTGCAGTACTCCTTCCTAGACAATCACTTCCCATTCTGTGTGAGACTGATTGTTCCTTCCTAAGTGAAGTACTTTGCATTTGTCCTTTTTAAACTTCATCCTATATTCCTCAGATCACTTCTCTAGCTTTGAATTATGACCCTATCCACTTGCAACTTCTCCCAGCTTGGTATCATCTGCAAACTTAATAATCATACTCTCTATGCCAGTGGTCTCCAACCTTTTTACACCCAAGATCACTTTTTAAATGACAGACCAAGCCAAAATCTACCGCTCCGCCCCTTCCTTGAAGCCTTGCCCTCTCTATTCTCCTCCTGTCCATCACTAGCTATCCCCAATCCTTATACTGTTGCTTTTTTTTTCCTTTTCAATTCTTCTATAGGAAGAGGTTTTTCCAACATGTGGCCTGTCTAGACTGGACCAAATGTCAGAAAACCCCTTCTTTTGGAAGCCCCCTTATTCCTCATGGAAAGAGGAATATAGAGATTACCGAAAGAGAACGTTTGCTCTTCCACTAAAAAAAGGGGAAGAACAAACGCATCCCTGGATGCAGAAGAGTATGTCTGAGATATCTCCGGAATCCTGAAAAACTCCTGCAGTCTATCTGTACCCTAGCTGGGTTGAGACAGGATGTGTAGGCTCTGGGGTGGGAATGAGGGATTTGGGTGTGCGAAGGTGTGATGTAGTGTTGGTACCTTGCTGGTTGGTGGGCTGTCGGTGACCTCCGCTGGCGGCTGTTTGTAGCACGGCCCAGCAGGACAGGGGATGAGTCATTATGCAAGGGGCTCCCAATCTGTCCGACCAGTTGGCTCCCAGGGAGAGACAAAGGAAGCAGTGGGAGGCCAAGCCCTGGCTGGGGGGTAGGGCTGGAAGGGACTTTTTAGTTTCTGTCTGGTATCATGGAGGAAGCAGTCTAAGCAACGGGCTGAGATTTAGGGGCCCAGTCTCCCCCATCTCAAGGGGGGCTGAGGCATCCTAGGCCTGCCCTGTAACCAGCTTACATCTATGCTGTGCTGTATCCTGGAGAAGCAATAAACTCCCTCTATTTTACTGGCTGGCGGAGTCTGTTTGTGCCACTACGGGGGTGCAGGAGGCGGGGGAACCCTGACACACTGCAACACACGGCTGTGAGAACATGTCCAGCAGCAATAAGCCAAGGGGTACAGATGCTCAAGTGTGGGTCTGGAAACACTGCACCCACAGGGAGTGTTGGGGTACTAAGAAAGCCACAGGCTTGTGGAGGTAAGGGTGCAGGAATTTGGGTTGGGGTACGTGAGGGGCTCAGAACAGGGGGTTCCAGTGTATGATAGGCTCAGATCTAGGGTCTGAGGGCAGGGGGAGTGCAGAAGAGGTTGTGGCCAGATGGGGGCTTGGCCCCAATTGGGGGTTTGTTGGCCAGGCTTCATTTTTAAATAAAATTCTATGTCAAACACAAAAAGTTTCTGTATTATCTTTATTTATGAGAAGGGCAGGGAACCTGTCTTGAGTCAGGAGTCATGGATACACAGAAAAATCAGCTAGGAGCAGGGGACATGGTCCTGGGGAAGGGTGCTAGTGGGTGCTGGGGCATGATGCCAGGACAGGGAGTCCCTGGCACTGCATCCCCCGCAGGACTCCTACCTCCTTCTCTCCCCCCCCCCCCCACACACCAAGAAGAGGGCACCCCCCGCACACAT